GTATGTTCTTAAATAAAACTTAAGAGCTGCTTCCTGCTTCCTCAGGGGGGAATTTTGAAGCAACACTGACCTCTAGCTACTTGCGTGAGCTATTTAACCAACTCGGGTCACTTGCCGAGAAGTCCACATCCGCTGCCAAGCCCTAAATAAAATTATACGATCATTTAAAGATGGAGACAGATCACTGGGACCTTCTAAATAAAATTATATGATCATTTAAAGATGGAGACATATCACTGGGACCTTATCTCAACTGATTATTCGGCAGTCCTGGAGTCAGGCAGCTCCCTGTAGTTGTCAGCGGGAAAAAAAAGAACAAGCACAGTTGACGTGTTTGGTAACTGAGCACAATTAAACGAATAGTTTTCCTGCTTTAAGGGAATTTAGCAGAAGTTTCCTGCTCCCTCAGGGTGAACACTCCTGCTCTGCAGCCAGAGGCTGACACAAAGCGCGCTCCGCTGAATTGTCAGGGCTGCTAGAGCGACAGCACGTACGAATGAGACTTTGTTCTGCAAGCAGACACTTAAATTGACAGAATAATTTCCCTCCGCTTATTTTTTTTATTATTTTTTACGACAATGAGCTTTTTCAGCAAGCCACGCTGCTCGGACATGTCATTGTTCAAGTTGGAACGGCGTGCAAGGAGTAAAACACGAATCTCTCCCTCCAGCTCGGCGGCCCGCTGCTCTTCTCTGAGCCGTTCCCAATTTGCTCCTTGAGTTGATCTCTAACGAAATACGATTTCTTGGGTGTAATCTCACCACAGAAACACAACAGGCAATAACCAGCCTGCCTCCTTGGGACTGGGAAGCAATTTAGAAATACTGTCACATTTCCTAAAACATCAGTTCTGCTCACGGTCCTCTCTGTGTATTTTTAAGAGTTACTACGTAGGATACACAGAGAGGGAAAATGTGCACTAAGATTTTTCGGGCTCCTTTCAAGTGCTGTCTCTGATTCCACTTACTCAGGAGTAAGAATACCTCAGCCTGCGCGCTCCAGTCAATCTGAAATAGTAGATAAAATAGGGACTTTTTTTTCTTTGTAATTAGGATTGGTGAAATGAAAGCTTTAGAGAAAAAAAAAAAAGAATAAATAGTATCAAACAGTGAGAATCAGTTCACTGGACAAATAATCTCGGGGTTTCCGCCACAGAAGTGAGCACCAGCTTATCCAGGCTATTAACCTTACGACACGGGGCAAATGAAGAAACAAATGTGTTTACTGCCCAGCGCTGCTCGTTACCTAAAATAATAATACACAGACACTTGGGTGCTTCGCTCCTTCTCTAAATTAGCTACACATTGATGGATCATCCAATTCTCATAGTATAAGGCCACGCATGTGCTACAAAAACGCTGTCTCCAAAACATAAAGACTCCTCGAAAAGCAAAAAGCCAAAGTCACGGCGAGTACCAGAAGCAATGACGGTTTGTGTGGAGCACAAAGGCAGGTTGGGTGGGTTTTATACCTGCATCTGTAAAGTCAAGCACATGCCGAGGTTGGGGGTTGGGTTTTTTGGGTTCTTTGACCAAAACTTGAATTATCAGGGCCCTGTAAAGTTCAAAGGGAGCTAAAAGCATTCAGTATTGAGCCTTTCAGTACGGCGCGAAAGTAAGAACCCTCAAACAATACAAGATTGGAGCCAAATGCCTCACTTCAGAGATTTCCGTATCAGAGAATTGACTGAAACCGTTCTACCTGCTTTGGTGTAGCCAGCATTAGAGTACGGCCATTGATTTTTTTCTTTTCTTCCTCCAACAGATATTGAGAATTGCTCAGTTCTCTTACATTTCCGAGCAGAAACACGGAAGTTTCAAGAGAGTCTGCATTAGTGTTCTGTCAGCAAGAGCTGTTAGAGACAAGAGCTCCATATTTGTACTGTTTTAGCCACACCTGGGTACCCACAGCTCTGTGGCAATAGACTGTAAATAAATAGTATGTGTGGTAGCATCGTTTCACAATCTCACACAAATTAAGGACAAATTGCAGAGGTTTCCAGGTGCAAAGTCGTTCTGCAGCCCGTTTACTTGAACTACATGTGTTAGAACGCAAGATCTGTGAATGGAAAGCTAGAAGAAACATGTATTTCCTCTTTAAGGCTAGAGAACGCCGCAGCTCACCGTGCCCTTGAGGGCCATTTCCCCACCCAGCAGCAAACGTTGACTCCCTTGGCATTACAATTTTGGTCCCGTTATTGACAGAACCACAGTCTATACTGACTAAAAGGGAACTTCAGAACTGAATTTTAAAATTCTGAGCTTTAAATTATGGGCACAACGTCAATTAATACGGTGTATTTTAAGAGTTATGGTTAACAGTGAAGACTATCAGGAGTCAAGCAAGATCAAGGCAGTCAACCGAATGCTAAAGCCAGACTGCCACCATCTGACAAAAGCATTCCATGAAGCACCAGGTACTTTCCCTTATTTATTTAGGCTTAAAATACATCAGAAGATCCTAATTAACTACAACAAAATGATATTTTACCACTTCAAAAACGAGCTAAGTAACATTCAGCATTAATCATTGATCCACCAGGTAAAGCTGCCACAAGCTCTAAGCACATATATATGAATATAAACAATTTGCTGCTGCTCTAAGGATCTAAACTAGTCACATAAAGCACAACCAGACAGGAGAGCAGCCTAACTTTCGGTTTTGTTTTCAGCCGAGGTACTTACATGCCAAAGCGCAACGTTCCAGAGACGTACGTCTGCCAGTGCGCGCAGTAAAACATGAATGTTCCAGCAAAACAACAAAAGAACATCCAGTCAGGGTTCGTTCCCAGCTGCACAGCAATACAAGTTCCCAAAACCACAAAGACTGCAGGAGAAAATCAGTCACATAGTGAAAAGGGAAAGCGTGGATGCGTGTCAAGAACCTTACCAGAAACAAATCTAACCAAAGGACGCAGGGAAGCAGAGACAGGGTGAAGGTATCCTGACGTGGTTTGTTTCACAGACCTGAGAGATCAGCATTCGCGTTTTTAACAAGCACAGACTGTAAAACGTGTATTTCAATTCGTATCGGTTATCAGAAGTCCGAAATATTGAGGGTGTCTTAGTCTCTGACATTTTTATTAAACTTAATGGGTTTAGACATCAAGGGACTTGAGTGATTTACGCAGTTGCAGCCTGTGGCCAGAGTTTGGGAGCTTTCTCATGTATCCAAGGTTTGCTGGCCATATTTTTTCCCCTGTATTCTCTCCATTTTTATTATGCCATTAAGAAAATCAAAGGGATATCATTCAAGATCCGTAAGGTATCTATCCCCACCACCCTTTAAACACACGACTTCATCAAAGCAGTCATAAAAACTTCAAGTGCAAGAACTTTAGAATCTCAGTAACCAAAAGCATCTGCTCATGGGGTTAAACTTCAGGCTGGCTCAGTGAACTCACCCTACCTAGGAACTGATCTCGCTGATCCTAAACTTAAACTCAAGACTTCTACCATCCCATTGTCTAGGCTTCATATCTGTCTCACCCATTGCCCTACGTAGATTCGATCTAAAATAACATAGAAGAGCGTTTTGACAACTTCTTACCGGAAATTTGTTCGAGCTAAGACTCTGATAAGGCATACACAGAAGGCTGCTGGCTCAGACTGAATTAGTCAGTTATTTATGGGGGTTTTTTTTTAGTGTATGACAAGAAAAGACATTAGCTGGTCAAAGGTATTGTCTGAAAAGCCACACATTCAGCAATATCACTTGTCCTTTTCAATAAAGGAGCATTTTGCTGTATTCCGGCCTTGACCCCTAAGAAGAGGGTCATTTAATCCTCATACTTGAATTAAAAGAAAAATGACAATACCTGTGGAAAGCGAATCACAGCCATGATCAAAAAGTTCTCCTAACGGAGTACTGCTGTTCGTCCTTCTCGCTTGTTTTCCGTCTATCGCATCCAGAGACTGGTAGATGAAAAGGCCGCACGCGCACGCGATGTACGCCCAGGGAGGGGCCTGAGGAAGAAAGACAATGGCAGTAAAAGATTTCGTTAAACCTTAAAAAAAGAAAAAAAAAAAAGCCTGAAGTTGACCCATCTTACATTCTCATCCAGTAGTTTCTTATTTGCACACACTTCCTCATCACACCCTGGATCTTCCCGTAGCTGCTCCCAGGGCAGGCAGAGGGGGTTATGACACGCAAAACGTAAATGAAGCTTTTCTTGCAAGTGACATTTATTAAATGGATTAACAGGAGCAGCACATTTCCGAAAGCAGGAAGCCGTGCTGCACATCCAAAAAATAATTAAAAAATAGCGGTCTATTTGCAAAGCAGCACGCAGCCAAGTTCTCGGCTCGCCGCTATTTCCAGCGGGCGCCTGCGTCAGTTGTCCAAGTGATTCAGAAACCCAAAATACTCCCTTCGCCCCCAAACCGTGCGACCTTGCCACAAAGGCTGAGCTCATCTTCACAAGAGGTGTCCCCTCCTAAAACTCTGCCGAGTGCAGGGTGTGACCAGGCTGCGGCGGCGTTTAAAAAACTTGGCATCGCAAAGCGCTCGAACTTTTAGAGGTCGATTCCAGCCGTTACGGTTTCCAAGATTTGCAAAGCTTCGGCGCTCAGCACGTCCACCAACCCGTCTTCCTATTGCAAGGTACCAGCAGCTTTCCCAAATCTCTGTTAATAACCCTTAATATTCACCTCCTGTGTAACAATTCTTATTTCTGCAGAAACACAAGCAATACCAACTCCCTGCTAGACCGAAAGCTACAGGTCAAGCTTTTTTTTTTTTCCTCCAGTATTTGAAGCATAAACCTTTATGACCGCAAAAGCCAGGGGGTCACCATCAGTCTATCTCGGTTCCCACACCCATAAAACAGGAATTATAGGATATTTTGCAACCTTCTCATCTGACACACTTTATACAAGTGAGCATTTATGAGCAGCTCTATTTCACAGACCGTGCCAACGAAGGGCAGATGCAGTTCAGTAGCTTAATCAAGCTGACCCACCTCTCGTAAAGCTCCAGACCTCAGCTGCTGCTTTTGGTCTACACAACCCTGACTCATTGGTAGCACATCAACTTAAATTGCTTCCTACAGCTTGCACTGTTCCTTCTACTGCATTTCACTAAAAAAAAAATATAAAAAAAGTATCATTCCACCTCAAAAGCTGGCGCCGTGCTCCGCTTTTAGCAGGGCACGCTTAAGAACCGACACGTGAGAGGTGAGGGGGAAATGGGTCGCCCCCAAAGCAGAGGATCGCGCTCAGCCAAGGTTTGGATACCACCAAATTATACCCCCTAGTGCCATTCCTGTTGCTCACATCACAGACAATGTTTAAGTCACCATCAGGACTGTGTGATTTTTCCCTCTTTATAAAAAAAACAAACCAAAACCACAGATTCCTGGCTCCTTTTTCTTAAACACTGATTACCAGGGTGTTTCCACTTAAATGTTATTTTTCCTCTTTAAAAAAAAACCCCACCATAGACTGCTGGCTCCTTTTTTCTTAAACATCAATTACCAAGGTAGGTGTTTCCACTTAAATGTTATTTGTATCTGCATCAGATTTCACTACTCCCTCTTATCCAAATCTTTTTATTCTTTTGGAACAAAAATGCAGGTACCGTTCCGTCACTCAGCACTTTGCTAGCCAGGGTGTCCCTCAGCTGAGCAGGCAGTAGAAATATTTATACTTCATTTCCTTTTGGGCTACCATTGACACTGCACGTGACAGCCACAGTCCTTCAGCTACTCCTTTTTAACAGATGAGTTGCTTTAGAAAAAAGCAAAAGTAAGACTGAGCTACAAGGAAGAGGCAATTTGAATCTGAAGGCAATAGTGCTTGCAGGAAAAAAAAAAAATTAAGTCTGTTTCTGGAATTTCAAAGTCCTATTTTCTTCCCCAGACAGCTACTTGACACTTAAAAAGCAGAAGCTCGCAGCTCCAGCACGGAGACGGCATCCTCCCTGTTGTGCCAGCACACAGGCCTGCGGTGCCATATGGAAAAATCAGATCGGGCTGAAAGCTACCTCAGCAGAAAGTTATTTTTCAGCTCAAGTGTGAGAAGACCAATCTCATTCACTTCGCAGCAAGTAGCTCACAAACCGTCAAAGATGAAACAGCGCTTTAACCCAGCACAGCTACAGCGAACGCGATGACCTTCCGGCACTCTGAGTGGAGCTCAGCGTGGATTTCAGAAGTTTAATTACCAACCAAAACACAAGTGTACTCTACATTTTAAATTATGCTCTGGTTCAGTGGCTGCTGCAACAGAGACAGGCCGAAGTCTCTCTGTCAAGCTGGGTTTCAGAGCCTCAGTCCCACCCCGAAAGGAGCGAGCAGCAATTTCAAACCAAGTCGTGCAACGGTGCCAGAGTCTGAAAAAGGAAGGAGCCGCTCCAAACGCTCCCTGCTTAAACTTAATATTCCCTTTTTTTATCTTGCACCTGCCAAATTCCACACATCATCGTAAAACTATCTGTTCCAATGGATTTCTAGAAGAGGCAAACATCCCTTTGCTACGTCGTACGTTGGACAGGGGTGCAGAGTGTTGAAGGGGCCAACCTGCAGGGGTTTGAGTTTTTTTAAGAGTCTGGTTTCAAACAAACTGCATGTCAGTTGACCACGAAGCATTTCCCGAACCTCAGTTGGAAAACTTGGTTAAAAAGGAGTTCAGGTATTTTAAAAGCTAGAACTTATGCGACAATCTCCAGCTATTCGATATGTAATACATTTTCTGTACCAAATCATTCCTTTTGGCAGTGCATACAGATATAACCAGCTTTTAAGATTCAGCAGTCAAGGGACAAAACTTTTCCAGCGCACAGAAATCAAAGCCTTCCACTGCCTTATGAGGCAACTCCAGTGAGAGGGAAAAGTCTCTGAAATCAGTAACTCAAAACCTTGTAAAGACTTTTGTGCCCTGAAACCAGGAATTACAGCAAGTTAAGACAATTCTGAGGACAGGTCAGGAGTTTTCAGTGCGCTCAGAACAAAGAATGAAACTATTGTGTCCAGGCTTCTCACAGCAAGAGGACAACTTTGTGCTCCTGCAGCTCATCACACGCTGTACCCGAGGTCCTGAGCCGAACCGCCCAGTAACCTCAACTGCCACAGCCCGCACTGGGTGAAGAAAGGGGTTCCTTTACTTTAATAAGCTGGGCTTAGTCACACCAGCCAGCCTCGATCTCCCAAGCTGCATCACTTTGGAGCTCAGTCACCTGTCCGAGCTCCTCGCTGTGTTGCAACTCTAGCCGGGCTCGCAGGCAGCCTCAGCTCGTTGCCAATCGAGTCACCTTGCACCTCTTGTTGTGTGGTAACGAGAACAGGGAGCTGAAGGTGACTAACCCAGCCACAAGCAGAGAAAGTAAACAGGCAAGAACTCCGCACGCCACATGAGCCGGCTGCAAACCCGCGCCCGGATTGTCCACACCAGCACTGGAGCCACGCGGGGCTGCAGCTTTCACGCAGCAGGTCCTTCACAGCTACGGCCAGAAGAGCTATTTTGGTACCAGACCCTGCTTCACAGGGCACCTGCTGGCCAGAAGAACGGCCGTTTCCCTCGACAAGCAGCACGCTAACCCCTAAACCTGCACGTGCTCTGTCTGCATGCAAGCCCTCACGCAGAGACACACACGTCCCATTCGTAGAGAGTAGCTCAAACTGCAAGTTGGTCACCGAGAAACAGTTCTCCACAACAGAACCCACCAGAAAAACGGAGCCAGCTGCTCCTGGATGAAAGCAACCACAAGCAAAGGCTGTCAGAAGTCCATCACTTACCTGCTCTGTAGCTGTTGGGCAGTAATATACTAATAGCAGGGTTGTAAATATATTTATTAACAGTCCAATGATGGTGATGAGATTCGGGGCAATCCAGGCTGGAACTCTTCCAACTAACCATTCCCAGTAACCTTGCATTAGGGGTTCAAGCAGGGACCGTCCGGCACTCTGATATTTGTGTTCTTCTAACCGTTTCAGCTGGTGCTTTGACAAGGGAGGTGTAGGCAACTGAACGAGTTTGCTTAACACGCAGCCAGCGGCGGGACCGTGACCGCAGCCCGCGGGGGATTCCAGGTGCGACTCCCCACATCGCCTCTTGACGTTTCGATGCCCACTCATGGATCGGGCGGCCTCGGGATTTTTATTTGGCAGGTAGCAGCTGTTACGGAGAATCATAAGCTCCTGCAACACAGAGGGTTGAGACATACTGAAGGAGAAGAGCACAAATAAGATTTTAAGATATCAAAAGCACAGCTCTAAGGAGTATTTCATTTGCTATCAGCAAGTTTTACAGTTCTCCCTTGGAAAAAAAATAGATATTTGGAGGAGAATTGTTGAGGGAAAGACAGGAAACAAGTGTTTTGAACGCAGTTATTAAACACTATGAACACTTGTTTACTTTCCTTGATGCCTACTGAAGCAAGTATCCTGCAGCTACCGGCCTGGATTTCAGCAGCAGCAGAAACTTACACCGCACCACTGACTTATGTTACACACCAAGGCACACTCAGTCCCCCTGCACCTCCCAGAGGAGAGCTGGCCGCACATAACAGGCACACACCGCTTCAGCTAATCCACTAAAGACTTCTCTGCATTTGTAGCACTTTTAGTTTCACTGGTTTGAAGAAGCTTTGCCCCTTTGCTGAAGCTGAACAACAACCTACAGGCAGTTAGAAGCTTTTTTTTTTTTCAGATCACTGTTCCTTCTTTCAGTTTTGCTGTTGCTTTTTTCTTCGCTAAATTTAACCCAGTTTGGGTGAAGGCTTGTTGTCTATTCAGCTTTTAAGATATGCAAGAAACACAGAAAGACTTTAACTGGTCAAACACAGCCTACAGACACCAGTACAAGGCAGCTGGGAAAAGAAAACACGGGGGCAGGAACAGCATTTCCAGCACATTTCCAAACAAGGACCCCCATGATATTCTGTCTCCTTGGTGGCAGGTGACCAGAAACACAGAACTCTGCACACCAGCTAGAGGAGAATCAGTTGAGAAAGACTAAAAAAACAGTTTGCTATTTATGCACAAGGGCCAGCCAGAAAGACAAAAAACCCAAACCCAACACCAAAAATCATAGAATAGTTTCAGCTGGAAGAGACCTTGAGGATCATCGAGTCCAGCCTTTGTCCCAGCCCCATCAACCCACTAAACGATTCCCCCCAACGCAACATCCCCCCGTCTCTCAAACCCCTCCAGGGATGTGGTTCAAGCCCCCCCCTGGGC